AGACCGGTGCGGGACGCTTGACGTTCACTGACTGCTGTGGCGCTCCTCCACTCGTTGAGCCCGGCACGACGACCACCTCGTTGTCTTGTTGCGCGTCTTGTGTTGAAGAACCCGGTGCGAGGGTACTCGTACCGGGAGAACCACCCGCATCGGGAGCAGATGCGGCCGAACCACCGCTCGCGTCACTCATGCTCAGCTGCCACTATCTCCCCTGCGGGCCACTACCTCAGTACCCCAGTATCTGAGTACGCGAGCGCGCGAGTATCGGAGCCTGGAGCCCACCACCACTCTGTGCGGCGAGACTGTCTACTTTCTGCTGAATAGTGACGTCACCAACACACCCTTTGGTGGAAGGTAGTACGTACTCTGACGTTGAGTAGTACGTACTCTGAGTTGAGTATGGCGGGCTGTACTATGGCCTGAGTAGAGTATGGGCAGCCATACTAAACGCAACGGTATGTTTAGTAGAGTATGAGAAGCTATACTAAAGTGATAGTATAGTACAGTATAGGAAGCCATACTAAACTCAAAAGTATGTTTAGTAGAGTATGAAAAGCCGTACTAAACCGCAAGAGTACGTTGAGTAGAATATGAAGAGCCGTACTATAAAGTGAGTATGAGTAGAGTATGAAAAGCCATACTATACTCAAAAAGATGTTTAGTAGAGTATTGAAGAGCCGTACTTACAAAAGTTTTAGTAGAGTATGAATAGCTGTACTAAACCGCCACAGTATGCTTAGTAGAGAATGAAAAGCTGTACTAAAGTGTGAGTATTACTCTACTGGGCGAAAAGGGTCAGATACTTACTCAATACTCGGGTCAGTACTAATAGTAGATACTATACTAAACCTACCCGTGAAACCTACCACTGACTTGTCACAGGTTGGTAAGGAGAGGGAAGTAGACCAACGAACACCGAGCTATCTTTGCCATTGGCTGTTTGTAGCTGTTTTTTCTCTGTATGATATGAGAAACCCACCAAAACCAAGGAAGACACTGCACCCCCTAGACAGATTAATCAAAACTCGACAATTTCACAGCGAAAGAGAGCCAATAAAAAGCCGAAATAGGGGCATTGGAGAGGCATCATCGAAACCTGTCCAGGCATCGTGCCTGTCAGTGCTGTCACCCTCACCCTACAACATCGAGCCACGAAAACCTTTCCATGGGGGTGTGATATCTTGCGTGGCATACGGTGGGCTCTGTGTTTTCGCTGGTGGTAGCCCGCTTCTTTAGGTGCCGTTCAACAGCAGCAGCAGCAGCAGCAGCAACAACAACAACAACAACCACTGCTACTTCTACTACTGCTACTGCTACTAGTACTACTGCTACTGCGACTGCTACTGGTGCTGGTGCTGGTGCTGGTGTTACAACTACAAGACCGCGTACCACGTACCTACGTGTGAGGTCAGGTGTTTCGCGACCGCCAACACTATTCCGACTCTCCTCCGCTCTCTACTGCTGCCGCTCGTGTACACAGAGTGAACTCCCGCCCAGCAGCCGCCACTCGAACACATCGAGACGTCCCACCCAGCAAAGCAGCCTCCACCCACCTGTTGTGATTGGCCACTGCACCAACCCATTGCAGAACCTGTTCCCTGGCCTGCTTGGCTTTGAGCAGCGTGGTCAGCAGACCCACCAGCGCTTCCCGCACCGTGGTGAGGGACTAAAGTCGAACGAGAAAACACACAGAGAAAGCGGACAGAGCAAACAAGTGCGGGGGGGTGCTCATAGTCGTGCATGCCGTAGTCGTTAGACCATTAACCTCGCATCCCTACAAAGCCGGGACGGAGCACGCCGGGTTCTCACCGAACCAGGCTCTCACATCACCAAGCGCGAAGCGCCGTGAGGCGCTCAGCGAGTCGCATGAAAGGTGCGCTTGGAGTGCCAAAAAAACCCGACAAGTCATGAGATGCACAGAGAGCGAGAGCTGCCTGAATCCTTCCAGGGTGAGAACCGCCACGCGTTGGGCGGGTGCCGAGATGGTGCGCAAGTGTGGCGGGGGCGGCAGTACAACGGCACATCGAATCGGTGGATGCAGGGAACGAACCAATGTCATACTCCGTTGTTGCAAAAGAGGGCACACTCCCTGAAGCGATTGGCACAGTCACAGGTCGATTCCTCCACGACCACGAGAAGGCTTGATGAGCCTGTTACCCAACGGGGAGATATCGCTGCGTGCTGCTCGGGAAACCGTGGATATACAAGTAGCTTTCTCTGACGCTATGAATTCTTTGCTAATCTGTCTTAGACTCCTTTCTTATGTAGAGATGGACTGGTTGGGTCATATCCAGAGAAAAAAAAAAAAACGACGCGCTTTCGCAAAGCTCTGGACGGGACCGTTCCAACGCCGCCATTTTCGGCGCCGTGATTGCTTTTCGTGCAGACCAAGTCACTTTTTTTTTTGCTTGCGTCTCTTCGACGACAACAGCAGTAGGTGGTCCAGCGGGTGTGGTATCTCATGCAACCTAGATACGTACGGTACCACGGTGCGGTACTATCTCCAGAACGCCTCTTCCTCTTGAAGGAGGGATAGATCGGAAATGAACGTGCGAGTTGTTTTTCGTTTCGTGTGCATTTGGAAACAAATGTTATCTCCCCAAGATGAATGAGCACAATACACGGTTCTCGTGACTGTTTTGTGCATACATATTTTCAGTCCTAGAGCTTTTCAAGAAATACCATGAGAGTCGGAGATATGGCACCCTCGTGTTAGAGTTTTTTTACTGCGTACTTCTCCACGACTAGGAGGTGCGAACACCAACCGACGCTTCTCAGGAAAGCCCTCGACGAGATGTTCCCAAAACTACACTTTTCGGCAGAGGTACCTTCCTGGTTGTGGATTAATACGCTAAAAAAAAAAACTCCAACACAGGGGTGCCATCTCTCCGACATTTATGGTGGGGTTTCGACGAGACGAGCAAGAACGCGTTTACCAACACCCGGACGCAAAGAAAAATGTTACCTGACGACAGGCCTTGAGGACGCTCCCCAGGGCCTGGCTCTCTTCTCTCGTCGCCTTCCGCTCCCTGCTCCACTCTGCTCCGCACACCACCAGGTCGATGGTGCCGACTTCAAAGCTCGCTCGAGACGCCTTGCACAAAAGAGCGACACGAGCAAATAAGGATTGTACCAGATTTTTTACGTACCAGCATGCACGCAAGCAGCAGCATCCTGTGCCCAACCAAATACAATATCTACAAACAGCAACGCACGAGAGGCAGCAGCACTATGTGCCCAACCAGATTTCACATCTACCGACATGATAGCACGCAAGCAGCAGCACGCGTGCGCATAACGATTGACCGAAGGTCACAAGAAGCGATGAGGGTATGACAAACAACGTCGGGGCAAAACTCGTGAACAAACACGTCGGAAAGGGCAAACAGAGACAGGCCGTGACAAGCTAGGAGGGCATCACGGCTACGCGCCACGAAGCGAATATTATGGTGTACGACGAACGGCCGAGGTGAAAAATACAGCAGGAGAAAAAACGCAACAATGGAGAACGAGCTTGAGAACCTCTCATTTTGACCGAAGCTCGTTTCTTGTTTTGTCCATGGAGTACTGCTGTACACTGTGCCCCCGCGGCAACTACATAGGTTTTAGGGTGACAACATAGGTTTTAGTGTGGGCTTCCATGACTGAGCACATCTGTCCTTGTCGCCAAGTTCTTAGATTTTGGATTTTTTTAGGCTAAAGTTCTTAAACTAGAAAGGTCGGAAGTGGTGGCGCATTCTGTACCGGAAACAGACATAAGAGCGGCCAAAATTGAAGTAGCAGGAAGGGAACTGAGGAGAAGGTATGAGAAAAAGAAAAAGCCAGCCAGGACGAAAGAAGGTACGCGCAGGGATATTAAATGTAGCTAGAGGAAGATACGATCCGCGGTTTGTGAGTCGCAAAACAGCATGCAAGAAACCTTGCTGCTGTCACCCGTCTCCTTCTCTCGCAGAGGTAAGCCTTGTCACAGCAGTCACCAGGAAGAGCAACCGGTTGGATTGGCCGGTTCGGAAGAGGAGGTGCCGGATTGACGTCAACACGTCTCTTCCACCGCAATCCAAGAAATACAACACTAAAAGCTACCCAAACCTCAAGACGCCTCTTCTATCGCATCAGCAACAAGAGCTATGCAAACCGCAGGAGGTACAGGTTTGATGTCAAGACGTCTTTTCTATCGCATCAGCAACACAACAAGAGCTACGCCAACCGCAGAAGGTGCCTATTAGGTTTCAAGATGCCTCTTCTATTCCACCAAGAAGCACAACACTAAAAGCTACCTTAACCACAGGAGAAGCCGAATAGACGTCAAGGGTCTCATTTATCCCTCCAAGAAGCATACGACAAAACCTACCATGGTACCAAACCACGGTAATCGTGACAACGACAATGACAACGGACGACCTCAGAGAGGGAGGAGAAAGAAGATAAGGATATCGACCCGAAAAGCAACGAGTTTCTGGACTACGGCGGAGCTAGCGGCACAGCTGTTGCACGTTGGTATCGGGCAAGTGCGACGATGCGATGCAGACTACCCCCTCCCGTCTGTGCTTGATCCTGGGATGGATAGGCCAGGGAACATTACTAAGCCACTATTGGTCAAGCAGGAAGGAACGATTGGCCATTGGTCCTGTGGGAACAATGCTCCGTCCTCTCGAGGACAGTGGTCAATGATCTTACCGCTAAGGCATGCAAGACAATAGAGTACCTCCCCGCCCCGTCTGTGTTTGCGGCCTCACCTTGAAGGAGAAGAGTATCCCGAGGGGGCTTTTCTTCTCCAGACTCTTTCCGGAGCACGCCGCCTCCGGCACCCAACTTCCCGACAATACAATAACACGATACAGAGGGGGTGGACGAAGCAATCATTGCTTGGGGAACCCAGGGGGGCCGCGGATGTTACAGGTTTTTCTTACAGGTTCGTTGGGGTTCGCTGAGCTCTTCGAGTCAAAAACACGTCGTCAGCTGTGTGAGCTGTTCGAGCATGGGAAACGATACTCATCGCAGCTGGGAGCTGACTCACACCAACACGTGCTTGACGTTCCACGCGGATATCGCCGTTGCTTTTCAGGCACACGAGGCACAACAGTCAGGATTCTACTGCTGACATCCGCCTAGACCCCTCCCCCCCCCCCCCCCCCCCCCCCCCCCCCCCCCCCCCCCCCCCCCCCCNACGCGGATATCGCCGTTGCTTTTCAGGCACACGAGGCACAACAGTCAGGATTCTACTGCTGACATCCGCCTAGACCCCCCCCCCCCCCCCATTTTTCCAGATTGACCAGCGGTGATCGATCCTATAGGACAAATGCTCTCGAGGACGCGTGGTGAATAATCTAACAACACAGGCATGCAAAACACAAGAGTGCCCCCCCCCCCCCCCCCCCCCCCCCCCCCCCCCCCCCCCCCCCCC